ACTGCGTAATTTTGGACCAATCACCAGGAGACTGGGAGTTCTAGTCCCACCTTAGGCATAAAAGCCGCCTGGGTGACCTTGGATCAGTCCTTCTCAACCCACCTCACAGGGTTGTTGTTATGGTGGAAATAGGAGGAAGATGTATTGGGTATATTTGCTGCCTTGGGTTTTTATAAAAATAAATAATAATCATACACTTCCCATAATACGCCTATGAAAAACATGGCATAAAGTTACCCTTTCCTTTTCCCCCTCCTTTCTTGTTCCTTGTATCCCGCAGCATCCAAGACCAGCCATCAATGCAAAAAGATGGCAATTATGACATCTGATGCAACTACACAAATTGCATCATGTGCCAGTTGTCAGGATGCCTGTGCCTTCACTTGGTTTCTCACCCCCTCACACCCCCCCCCTCCCCGTGTGGATTCCCATGCTATATTTATTTTGGTTATGAAGCCTCTGGGGATGCACAGACTATCACTATGTAGGCAGATGAGACGGCCCAAATGTCAAGTAATTCTGAAAAGCTTCCTATTTCAGGGATATTCACATGGAAGTGCAGAATTTTTAAAGCAAAAAAGAAAAGACATTCTCTCCATGGTAGTTCCAGTTTAGATTCTTGGGTTCGCTAAACACGGTTGTTTAGATTTAGTAACATGTAAGCATACTAAGAAAAAATCATTAGTGCCTAAAAATAGTTAACAATATTTCTGTTCTCTGGTGTTTGTTTTGGTTTCACATCAAAGCCGGTACTTTTTCTTGGGAAAGTTAAACATGCTTGGGATATAAAAACATCCTAGTTCCCTGGTGAAATTAGATTAATTAACAAATATTTATTCAGACTGCTTGAGTCACTAGCAAAGGGTTTGCTTTCTGGATGTTGATTTTACTGTTGCACCCAATGTGGTCGATGACATGAAAGCAATATGTATTTATACATTTAGATTAAAACTTTTATTGAGTGGTATTCTCCATTTGTGGTCAACAATAATAACGTTTGCAAGGATGTCAACATATCTTTGAATATTCAAATTCCGTTGAATGCAAAGATGTATCTAGTCCAGAGGAACTATTTAAAGATGACTTGACATTTTGGCTGGATTCCCAAGAAGGTACTAAATAAATATTAAATTAGCATTTCTTTGGCAGTGTCTTCAATTTGAAAAAATGGGGGGGGGGGAGGGAAACCCCAAAGGAATCTTATGGCAGGAGGACCAATTTATTTTCCATTTTAAAAGAAATCAATTCACTTTCGAAATCCATGATTTTGTGGAAAGTTGGTAGCAATTTTCTATTCTAAAACATTGGTAAAATTAATATATCCAATATTCTTACTCCATCAAAACATTCTGCTTATTTATGTCTATTTCCAGTCTTCAGCTGCAGCTTTCCTTTTACGGTTGAGATTTTCCTCTTATTTCGTTCTATTTTTAAATTAGGAAGCAGAAGTGTATTTAAGCATTCTGCCAGATGCTTAATGATTAAGATCTAGAATAATTCTCAGAATGTTGGCTGCTAACATTAGATCCTGTGCTAAAGCAGAAATAGATTAAGGGCATCCATTAAAGGTCTGACCTGCTTTTTTAAAATACTACAGTAAATTTGAAGATTGAACATATTTAATTAATTAGTTATTAAATGCATTTCAATCCAGCTGTAACCGAGTTTATCAAACTGTTCTTTTTTAAAGGTTTTTTTTTTTTCCTGAGTCTTTTAAGTATGATGCCCACAAGTGGACACAGTGTTTTAGGGGGTGTCTAGCCCCATCAGCATGCTGGCTGGGGACTTCTGGGAGTGGAAGTCCTCGCATTTTATAGTTGCCACGGTTGAAAAACACTCATCCAACCAACGTGGAACATAATGGATCAATACTTCTTTTGACGCTGGCTATATTTGCATAGTTTTTTAACCATACAGGTTAATCCTCAACTTAATGACCACAATTGAGCCCAAAATTACTGTTGCTAAGTGGGACATCTTGCCAAGTGAATTTGGCCTCGTTTTACTTGTTTTCCCGTTGACTTTGCTTGTCAGAAGGTGATCACATGATCCCGGAACTCTGTGTCCATTGCCAAGCACCTGAAGTTTGATCACGTGACCATGGTGATGCCGCAATGGTTGTAAGTGTGAAAAACGGTCATAAGTTGCTTTTTTTCCCAGTGCCGTTGTAACTTCAGTCCCTAAATAAACTGTTGCAAGTCGAGGACTACCTGTATTTCTGACTAAACTACCTTGTACTTCTGACTAAAAAAAATGGCCTCTGCTTTTCCTCCCCCCCCCCCCCCTTACAGGGAGGATAACAATGGATGAAATCTTCTCCCGATTAAAGCAACTGACCCCCGATGAGCTGAGAGAAGAGATCGTCCACGCTGGCCTGAAATGCGGGCCCATCACCCTGACCACCAGGTCCATTTTTGAGAAAAGGTTGGCCCAGGCTTTATGGGACCAGCAAGGACCCTCCGAGGCCACGGCTCCCTTTTCGAACGGCGTCCCTGGAACGGCTGCCAGTGGTGGGAACCAGCCAGAATCCGGAAGAACCAATGGCCACCTTGCCTCTCCCGAGGAGGGGGATTTTGGCTACAGCGTGGGACTGAACCCTCCGGAGGAAGAAGCCCTACTGCATGAAGCGAATGGCTCCCCCGCTCGTTCCCAGAATCCCTCCAAGGAGCCTGTGCTCTACTATGGGGTGTGCCCGGTGTACGATGACATATTGACCAGAAACGGTAAGCGTTTCTTTGATTAAGAATGGACGGTCGTTGATGATCTCTTTGTGCAGTAGCTCGACTTAAAACCATTCATCTAAAATGTCTGTGGAGGTTCTCAGTCATCCAGGTCATGGTTGTCCCAAAGGTGCTTTTTCTTTTCAAGAGGCAGCTGGACTTTTCTTGTTGTTTTTTTGTTTGTTTTTTTTCTTTTGAAGACGATTCGCTTCTCATCCAAGAAGATCCTTCAGCTCAGACCGGATGGTGGGGAACGGAAGGATTGATCCTCTTTGAAGACAGCTGATGATTTGCATCCTTTTAGACCAAGGGTCTTCCAACCTGGCAAGTTTAAGACTTGTGGACTTCCAACTCCCAGAATTCCCAAGCTAACACGACTGGAGGAGGAATTCTGGGAGTTGATGTCCACAAGTCTTAAAGCTGCCAAGTTTGAAGACTCCTGTTTTAGAGGGTTCTTGAAGCCACTTGGGGGTTGATATGATCAGCTTGTCTGCAAGGCGTATAAATCCTTCCCTTCCCCACCATCTAGTCAGAGCTGAAGAAGCTTCTTGGATGAGTAGCGAAACGTCTTTTTTTTAAAAAAAAACAAAACACAAGAAAGTCCAGTTGTCTCTTGTCCCCGTGGTCACATGATCAAAATCTGGCCCTTTGGCTTAGTCATATTTATGACACTTGCAGCCTCCTGGGGTCCTGCGATCACCATTTTGCGACCTTCCCAGACAGCCTCCGACACACGGAGTCCATGGGGGAAACCGTTCACCGCTCAATTCCCTTAACTGTGGCCAAACAGGTCGTCAAATAAGGCAGAACACAGTTAAAACAGCCACCTTGCTTCGTAATGGAAGTTTGGGGCTCAGTTGTGGTCGCAAGTCGAGGACTAGCTGTCCTATAAACACGTAACTCCTGACAGCCGCTCCCTGAAACTAGCCAGGCTGCTTGGTGCTGATGGATCTTGTAGTCCCAGCAAAATCTGACTTTCTGCAGACAGTTAGCTGCCTTAAGAGTCTTGAGACTCCTTCATGTGAGGCAAATGCCAACGAGGCTTAATTGATGGCTTTCTTACGGCCGGCCAATGAAAAATTCACCAGGCGGGCATCGATTTCCCGCACTTAATGTGCACACAGCACCCGCGTGGTTGAATTACTGGAGAAGAAATGGGCGTTGAAGGAGACCTTTTAGTGCGATAGCAATAAATGCTCGGCATAAAAATAGCAGCGGTACATTTTCAAGGATCGATTCTTTTTTCTTTTTCAGGGATGTAGTACTTAGCGAAAATAAATTTCCTAGCACAAATTATGTATTATGATTTTGAATTTGTTTGGTGGCTCATGTGTGTCCTCCCCCTGTGCAAAATTCGAACATTTGGGGTACAAAAATACTGGGGTGTATGTGTGTCTTTACCAAAGAGATCAGCTGGATATATGAAATGATTTAATATAGCTGTAAAAGGAAGGAGATAACCCTGCATGAATCTTAAGCTTGGAAGCTTCCTCCATTCCTACCCACCACCGCCTTGCTTGTTTTTGGAATCGCAACTATTTCTGTTTCTGTTGTTAAGAGGAGCCCAGTTGTTGGTTAACATCCAAAACTGGCAATCTTCAGTTTGCTGAATTCAGGGATAACCCCATAGGCTAAATCCATCTTGCCCAATTTTTCCCTTCTTGAAAGACGGATTTTCTCTCCTTCCAACTCTTAGTTCTTACCTTAATAGGCCCTTCAGGCTGAATTCCCAATTCTGAATTAAAGATTGGTTTGTTCCAACAAGATAAGATCAAGCTGTTAATTGCAACCTGTTTTTGAACTATAAAATCTTGAGCATAAATGGAAGAAATAACAAGGCCCCAGGAGCGGCAACAGATTCTTTGAGGCTCCTTACAACAGTGCCGGAGGACATGAAAACATACACTGTGGGGAAAAAAATCGCTTTTTTTAATGTTGTCTCTGACTTGGAGCCATGATTTTAAGCAAATTAAATTCCTTTCAAAAGGTTGTTTAGTTTCTCAGGGAACAAAATCGACTTGCTGATGAAAAAACAACCCAGTGTTGCATCATAATCTTAGTGAGACGATTTTAACTTGTTTAGCTGTTGTTTTCCAGTATTGATGGTGTGTCCTGTGGCTTTAATTAAATTCCTCTTCGCAATTTTGACTAGAATTGATCGGTTAGGTGGAAGGCCCTAGAAAAAAAATGCAGATGTTGTTCTGTGGTATCGTAGTTATTTGCCCCCCAAAGTAAAACTCGCCAAAAAGCAAGATTTAATTGATCTGTTTTCTGCTATAAATCATCATCTCATAAAGTAGCCAAACAGGACTTGGGATTAAAAGTAGAAGGACAGATTTCTTGACTTGCCGTTGCCTCCTGCTTTCATCGGAGCTGAATTTACTTCACTGCTGTTTTGTTTTGTTTTGTTTTTTTCCCCCCAGAGAGGGTACATGTCTATGAGGACAAAAAGGAAGCTTTGCAAGCTGTAAAAATGATTAAGGGGTCACGTTTTAAAGCTTTCTCAAACAGAGAAGATGCAGAGAAATTTGCCAAAGGTGTATGTGATTACTTCCCGTCTCCAAACAAGTCTGCCACCTCACTGTCTCCTGTCAAAGTCTGTTCGGTCTTTGGTAGAGGTAAGCGGGGAGGCTTCAGCGTGTTCCACAAGGGCTTTTAGAGTTAAATGGCTTTTAGACTGCTTTAAACGCCGGCTATTACTATAAAGAAGGATGGGCTGGGCTTTAGAAATGAACTTGCAGGGTTATGAAAAAGAGCAGCCGCAAGGAGAAGCTAATCGAGGGGCAGTCGGCAGCGAGAGCGGCTTAGCAGGCTTAACAACCAAGCAGAGGGTAAAAATGCTGAAAGTTAGCATTTAATCCTATTATGGAGGGCTGCAGGTGCTTGTGCCTGCCTTAGTGTTTTAAAAAGTCAAATTTTAAATGCACACTATTGTTCAGTTGGCGAATGAACCCAAAGCTAACGGGGTCCCGCTTCAGACCTTTGTATGTAGAAGTAAGTTTTGCACTTTGCAAATGCCGATGTGTGTCTTTGAACCTGCGTTGCGTCAGGAGCGCATGCCCAATGCTATTTATATCTCTCTTAACAGATGGCTTGTGCTCTCCGGAACTGGAAACGGTCAGTAAAGAAAGAGCCAACAGCTACAAAAGCCCTCGTACCCAGGATCTGACTGCAAAGCTCCGGAAAGCCGTGGAGAAAGGAGATGAAAGTACTTTCTTAGAACTCATCTGGAGTAACCCTCGCTATCTCATCGGCTCTGGAGACAATCCGACGATTGTCCAGGTAAAGAAAAAAAAGTTTTAAAAAATGGTGTTTTGGCCATTATCAGCTGCAGGACCAACAGATCCTTTTTTTTTTTTTTCCTCCTCTCCCCTCCAGATGTGATTGTTAAGGAAAATGTGTAGCTGCCTTGGGCCAGTCTTTGGCATCCGAGTAATTTATTTATTTGTATTCCACCTTTATGACAAATAACTCAAGGTGGTGAACATACTTAATATTTCTTCCTCCTATTCTCCCCTACACACACACACACACACACGCACACAAAAACAATCCTGTGAGGTGGATTGGGCTTAGAGAAAGGGACTGGCCCAAAGTTACCCAGCCAGCTTTCATGACTAAAGTGGGACTAGAACTCCCAGTCCCCTGGTGATTGGCCCAAAGTCACCCAGCTCGCTTTCCTGCCTAAGGCGAGACTAGAATTCCCAGACTCCTGGTGATTGGCCCAAAGTCACCCACCTGGCTTTGATGCCTAAGGGGACTAGAATTCCCATTCACCTGGGTGATTGGCCTAAAGTAACCCAGCTGGCTTTCATGTCTAAGGCCAGACTCTCAGTCACCTGGTTTCTAGGCCAACACCAAACTGACCCCAAATACACCAGTTTGGTGTGACATCCAGTTTCTCTTTATCAGCTAACTTTGAGGCTGATAGCAGAGTCTGGAAAACAACACACACACACACACACACACACACACACACACACACACAGAGGGGAAAAAAGGAAGTTACGTTTATGTTGGACTGGAGGAATCCCAAATGGTGACGCCCTCTGTTCTTTTTCTAGGAGGGGTGTCGATACAATGTCATGCATGTGGCTGCCAAAGAGAATCAACCTGGCATCTGCCGGCTGCTGTTGGACACTCTGGAAAACCCAGAATTTATGCGGCTGATGTACCCTGACGACGACACCGTCATGTTGGAGAAGCGCATCAGTTACATAGTGGATCTTTATCTGAACACGCCAGATAAAACGGTGAGCCTAGAAAGCAGATCCGCCCAATCCGCACAGGAACAGGATATAATAATGGATTATTCATACATTTATTTTTATTTTATTTTATTTTTTTTGTAGGTGTTTGATACTCCGCTGCACTTCGCTTGCAAGTTTGGGAATCCAGAAGTGGTCGGTGTTCTTGTTTCCCATCCGGGCATCGTAAAGAATCCAAAAAATAAATATAGTCAAACTCCAGCAGATGTAAGTTGCATGTGATAAATGTCTTGATTTCACTTTATTCACTTTACACCTCAGCAACTTTAAGACCTGTGGATTTCAATTCCCAGAATGCCTCAGCCAGCATGGCTGACTGAGGCATTCTGGGAGTTGGAGTCCACAGGCCTTAGTTGCCAAGGCTATGAAATGATGCTTTATAGCTCAGTTCCCCTTTTATTTTTAAGTATAAAATACGAGGCGTCTTAGCTTAACTAACACACCTTACGCCTTCTTGCCTAAACAGGTAATCTGTGAAAGGAACAAAAACAAATCGGCAGATCTGAAAGCAAAAATCAGGGAACACTTGGAAGGTTTGTATTTCACGTTGGCGGTTTATGGGGCATCGTTTTACCACATCGGCTTTGGGGCTATTCGAAAAGCAAATGGCACAACTCAGAACCAAAAAGATTATTTAGTGCAGAATTTATTTTTTGACTGATATCAAAGCGGCCGTATTTAAGCGAATAAATATTTTAAAATGTAAGGATTTGCAGGCGGTGATGAAGTTGAGAAATATTTCATACACCAGCAAGCAGAGATGGGGGGCGGGCAGACGCGTACAAAATTCTGCCGGTTCTTTGGAGGCTCTGCACCTGATTCTCCCTTTTGATCCTTTGTGAACCAGGTCAGTGTTACGTGCCTCTCTTCAGAGCGGAAGATAACGCCACTTCCCCCATGATTGGCGCCCCGTGGTCCCCGGATCAAACGGAGAGCAGCCCACTCGCTTCTTTGCCCAGATACCTCGGCAGCCCCAAAGACCCAATGCTGACAGTGAGGGCTTACGCGGGGCCTCTGAGCCCTTCCAAGGTAAGGAGAGCAAAGAGGCTCTTCGCTGAAGCGCCTCCTTCTGTTTTGATGGCGTATCGCGAGACGGTGAGAATGAGCAGCATGGTGGCCTGGTGGTGGAGACGCTCGGCTCCCACTCGGAAGATGGAGAGTTAAATCCCAGGTGTTTCTCAGTCAGGTGTTTCTCAGGGCGCGAAAGAGGAAAACATCTGCTGTGAACACCGCGTAGGTGTCAGGAAGGGCATCTGGCTAGCAAACGCTCAGTCACCCCGCCTCTACCCTGATTTAAGGGATTACAGGATCGTAAAAAGAATGTTATTTTTATTGTGGGACTGTGAAACTGGGCTGAAGATGCCATGTCTTAAAAGATGAAGGCAGGCATGGAAGTTGGCCGGGCCAGGGAGCTATAGGCAGTCCTCAGCCTATGACCACAATAGAGCCCAATTTTTATTTTTTTTTGGTTGCTTAGCGAGACAGTTTAAATGTTGAGTTTTGCCCCGCTTTGTGACCTTTCTCGCCACTGTTAAGCGACTGCCTGCGGTTGTGGAGTTAGTAGCGTGGTAGTTGGTTGAATCCGGCTTCCCCATTGACTTCGCTTGCCAGGAGGTCGCAAAAAGTAATCACATCTCAAGACGCTGCAGCCGTCATAAATATGAGCCAGTTGCCAGGCATCCAGAGAGTTTGATCACGTGACCACGGGAATGGTGCAACCGTTGTGTGAAACACGCCCGTAAATCCCCCCTTTTTTTAGTGCCGTCGTATCTTTGAACACTCGCTGAGTAAATGGCCGTTAAGTCAAGGGCTGCCTGTGCATAAGTTAATAACCATAACAATTTAACAATATTATTATTGGAGCCTCTGTGGCGCGGTGGTCAGAGTGCAGTACCGCAAGCTACTTCTGCTGCAGCCAGGTGCCTACAATTTGGCAGTTCAAATCCCATCAGGCTCCAGGTTGACTCAGCCTTCCCTCCTTCCGAGGTGGGTCAAATGAGGAGCCAGATTGTTGGGAGCAAGAGGCTGATTCTCCAAACCGCTGTAAAAGCACTCTGAAGTATATAAGTCTAAGGGCTGTTGCTATGATGTTAATAATCATGATTTAAGAGGCAGGGCTGTGCTACCCTGAGAGTAATGGCCCACAGGGGACTTCTTCTCCTCTTCCCTGAAGCATCATCGGGGCCAGCTGGCTGTCCGAGTTGGATTTTGCTCCTTTCATCTCTCCTCTCCCTTTCGACAGGCAGAAGATTTCCGCAGGCTTTGGAAGACTCCACCTCGCGAGAGGGCGGAATATTTCTACCACCTCCGAAAATCCGATTTGGAAAGAGGGGTCGAGCGAGTTGGAAGGTATTTCAGACTCGGTGCCCGAAGCCAGATGGCAAAAGGCAGGGAAGAGTTCTGTTCCAACATTAAACGTTTTAAAAAAAAAAACTTTAAAACAAACACGAGCACCAAATAGACTAGGAAGAGCTGCAAGTAAATCATTATTATTACATACTCAGGTTGTATTTATAGGGTGGACAGACCATTTATTACAGAGATTAAATGTTTGAGAGGGTTGACATTTTCTTCTAAATACTCCTTTGTGGTTTGACACGTTGCCATGGACCATTCCTAACTACAATGCAGGTAAGTCCTCGACTTAAGTTTGTTCAATGACCAAAGCTACAACGGCATTGAAGAAACGTGACTTTACGTTTTTCACAGTTGCAACCTTTGCAGCAGAACTGGCTCACATTTTTGACAGTTGCAGTGTGATCCTCTTTTGCGACCACCTGGCCAGCAAACTCAATAACAGCCGTGTTAAATAACTTAAGAACAGCATGATTCACTTAAGAACCGCGGTGAGAAAGGTTGCAAAATGGGGAGAAAGCTGACTTAACCAATATCTCCCTTAACAGCAGAAATGTTGGCCTCAGCTGTGGTCATTCAAGTCGAGGGCTACCTGAAATGTTTTCTCTGAAAAACAATGTATTGGGATTAGTCTGCGAGGCTTAAACACTGTCTGTCCAGTCGCTCCTGTCTTAAAATGGTCCCTTTTGGAAACAATCTTATTTTTTTAAAAAAAAATCATTCAGTGTCATGTCATACTTTTGCATTAAGGGTATTTCATATGCTGGAGATCTTTTATAAAAGTTATAGAGGAAAAGAAACGTTTTTGGGGGTCAAACTTCAGTAATTACTGAAATAAGTTTCTTTTGAGGAAGGGGACAGGATGGTGTGAGCAGACAAGTTGTTAGAAACAAAAGAATTGGTATGAGTTGCAATTGGCTACAGAATTAGCCCTGTAAAACCTGGATGGCTTTGAAAATTAGCCAGAAAATGAATGTTTGGGAAGATTGTGTATCCTAGTGAATTTAGTCACTGAAGTACCATCTAAATCAATGTCTCTTAACCTTGGCAATTTTTAAATAGGTGGCCTTCAACTCCCAGTATTCCCCAGCCAGCATGGCCACCCATTTTAAAATTGCCACGGTTAAGAAACGCTGGTCTAAATTGTGGTTTTTCCTTCCCTGTCCAATTTACCCCTATTTTATTTTGGTCTATCCTATCCTATTATGGCTGGGAAGAAGAGACAATGGTGTCAATCTTCTTGTGTATGTGTGTGTGCATGCAAATATGTCAGCCTATACTTTCATAGCATCAAGGGGGAAGATGCTGAGAATTTGAATCTATCCCAATTTTTTTACTTACCTGATCTTTCATTGTGACTTTTCTGAAATTTGGCAACATCTTTTTGGGGGTAATTATGGTAATATTAAAGGGTTAGGGTTTTTTCTTCCTCTTTGATGTGCTAGGAGTGCATAAAACAAACTGGCATTTTAGTGTGTGAATGCGACAAACACGAAAACTCGGTGTGGGGTAGTTTTTATATCACACTGCAATCCTGAGGCGGATTTTAAAAAATGTCTTTCAGTGAATTTGTTATCCAAATTAATTTCATACTGTCACAAATGATCCGTTCTGTCTCCTTTATTGCAGGGAGTTAGCTCACGAGCTGGGGTTCCCATGGGTCGAATACTGGGAATTCCTGGGCTGCTTTGTTGACCTGTCTTCCCAGGAGGGGTTGGGACGGCTAGAAGACCACCTGAGTCAACAACAGGAAATGAGCAATAATGCTCAGCTAGGGGAAAATGAGGCCCACAACAAACCTCCACAGGCTCATGGTAAGATTGAAAGCTGAAAGTTGAGTGGTTTAAATGGATTAAATCTCCAAAGCAAATTTAGCCAAACCTCCTAATGCTTTGAAAAGTCCCAGCTTGCTGGTTGAATATAAAATGGCCCCCTTACAACCTGTGGACTTCAGCTCCCAGAATTCAGTGGCTGACTCAGTAATTCTGGGAGTTGAAGTCCACAGGTCGTTAAATATCTATGGAGATTCTCAGCCACCCAGGTCATGGTTGTCCCAAAGGTCTTTTTTTTTTTTTTTTTTTAAAGAGGCAACTGGACTTTCTGGTTTTTCTTGGAAGACCTTTCGCTTCTCATCCAAGTCAGAGCTGAAGAAGCTTCCTGGATGAGAAGTGAAATGTCTTAAAAGAAAAACCAGAAAGTTCAGTTGCCCCTTGAAAAAAAGCACCTTTGGGGAAAAGGGGATATTAGTTGCCCACCCCTGGTCAAAAAAGCATTGGTGGTATCTGCGTTACCTATTGCATTTTCTGGGAGTTGAAATCTATACATCCTCAAGTTGCTAAGATTGAGAAACAGTTTTCTCTGTTAGACCAAGTTCTTTAAAAAATGAAGGATACCTGTCAAATCAGAGCATGGCGACCCTCCCGTAGTTGCAACCCACTGCAGGGAATGGATTGGGAGAGATTTTAATTTAAATGTAAAATAGATTCAGAGGAACCTTCAGCTCTCTTTAAATAGGAACACTAAGAAACAAAAGCACTTGTCAACTCATAAAATATTTCTCTGGTCTTTTTAAGAGTTGCCAACAGAAAGGGAGAGGGGAGCAGTGCAGCAACTTGCAAAACCGAAAGCGCATTCCATAAATGTCTTCAAAGATAGTAACTAGGTGACCGAAGTTTCTGCCAGGCAAAATTCTAACTGAAGAGCATGATTGATTGACTCTGGGCTATGGGTGTGTCCCATTGGAGAATATGAATTACGATACACCCAGAGGGTTGGGGGAAAACCAGGGTCAAGGGTGGCAATAAATTATGTATCTCAGAGTCAGCTACACCCAGACAGTGTTGGACATGTTAACTAACGCCCAATAAATCATCTTTAAGTTTTCAAAGTCCAGCTAGAGACTCATGATTTAAATGGGGGAACTGCTGGAATCCTGACAGCGATAGACAAGATCAGTGGGCTGTATATAGTCCACCCAAAAGCCTACAGTTTGGTCCACACCGTTTTTATTTCTGTGGTTGTTACAGGTAAAAGTAAAAACTGCAATTCTGTCTCTGTTGGCGCGTTCCTCGATGATGATGATATGAGTTTGGAAGAAGTCAAGAACAGGCAAAACGTGGCCAGAAATTACAGCCCTGTGATTGCACCCAACGAAGCCGCCATCGGTCCCTTTGGAAGCTCCAAGTGCGACATTCTCTCCATCGAACATACGGGGGCTATCATGCCTAGGACAAAAACCTCCCTCCGGCCGGCCGAAAAAGGAGACCCCGTCAGTAAAAACGGATACTGCAGCCCAGCCGCTAGCGACGATAGGACAGGAAGCCACAGGAGGCATCCCAGCCAGGAGGAGAACTTTCAGTCCCCCGTGGCCAACTTAATGGATAAATTTGGCCAACTCTCTTGCCAGGATCCAGCCGCGGCAAGGGAATGCTCGCCAGGCAAGCCGAGCCAGAAGGCAGCAAAAACTTGGAAATGTCCAGAGCAACTGCCCAAAATGGGCTCCCTGCTTTCTAAGGCAGGGGCAGCTGCCAGGAAGGGCAAGGAGGCCAAGAGCAGAAAGGAAGAGGGGGACCCCCAAGAGGCCGAGGGACCCTCAGCGGAAACCGAGGTCAGAACCGGGGAGAGAAAGCCGCCGGGCACTTTGGAATCACCACCCGGGATGTCCCCTCCTGGTTTGCTAAAGACGCCGCCCTCAAATGGGAGAACGAAGCAGATGTTCCTCACAGGGTACGAAAGGGGTTTGTTTTCTCTTCCCCTCCCCCCCATATATATGTTTTATTTTTATCCCTAAACATTTTGAATACAGTGTATTGTCAGAGCATGTCATTAACCAAAAAGCAAAAGGAAAACCAGCAGAAGTATCACGATATAGACTAATAATAATAATAATAGAGTAACAAATTAATTTAATTCACTAAGTTCTTCAGTATTGTGGCCAATTGATCCATGTGCACAAAATTAAAAGCAAGAGGTATAGCAATAGCCCTTAGACTTGTATACCGCTTCACAGTGTTTTCCAGCCCTCTCTAAGCGGTTTGCAGAGTCAGCCTCTGGGTCTCCTCGTTTTACCCACCTCGAAAGGATGGAAGGCTGAGTTAACCTTGAGCCGGTTAGGATCGAACTGCTGGCAGTGGGCAGAGTCAGCCTGCAATACTGCATTCTGACCGCTGCGCCACCACGGCTCCTTTAATTTGGTTCACCGTGAAAGAGCTTGTACAGATGTAGGAGCCTGTTGGTGTTATCTATTCACTCCGGGGTCATCCAAGGGGAAAATTGCTCAATTGGAGACACTCTCAGCAGAAGCCCAGGTGGGGTTTTCCCTAAAATGCTGAAATATTTCTGGGAGATAAGAGAGTAAAAGCCTCGGCCTTCGGTGGTGCCTAGCTGCCTAATCCAGCTCTCCTCTCCTCTGCTTAGCGATCAACCGTCAAAATGGGACGACGACGTGTTAACGGCGCTACTCGGCGTAGAGATCGACCCCCAGAGGTACCCTGCTATTTCCAAGTGGAGCGAGTCCGTGCGGGCCTATCCTGCTTCCGAACGGCGAAGGTACATCCATAGGAAGCGTGAAACAGTTTGCTAGGCAGGTGGAGGAGCACGTATCCCTTTGAGTTGGGGTCACATCCATCCTAGGATGCAGGGGGTAAAAAGCTGCACCCTACCAGTGTTGTCCGTTGTCCCCGGTAATTAAAACTACTCAGGTGACTAATTTATCTTCTTGAGAAGCTGATTTGTGCAGTTGTTGTGAAAGATACCGAACTAAAATTAACCACTAGTTGGGTTTTTTGCCAACACCCACCTCTCTTCCTCTGAAAAAAACCACACAACTGCTTTCTCCTCCAGATAACATTTTAGGTGCAAAGGAAAGGGTGTTGGAGCCAATTTTGGGCTGGTGTTCCTCAATCTTGGTTACTTGAAGATGGTGGACTTCAACTCCATGCCTGCTGGGGCATTCTGGGGAGCTGAAGTCCATCCATCTTCAAATGGCCACGGTTGAGAAACAATTTTGGGCAAAGACACCAGTGTTTTGCATCTCTTTGCTTTTCTCTGGTGCCTTGCTATGGTCAAGGAACTGTTGGTTTCTTCCTACTAAGACCTGCACTTAAGTTACAAACCATCTATAAAAGCCACAGCAACGTTTTCCCGTCACAACCAATCGCTCTGCATCAAGTCGGAGAGCCGTTTCTCCCACGTTTTGCACTCTTAACAAAAACGCTGCCTTTTCCCGACAGGTGGTCCAGCCCTTCCCTGAAAGGATTCGCCAAGGGCCAAGCCACCACCAGCCCTGCCAGAAACCTTCCGTACTTCAGCCCAGGGAAGAACAGCCCCGGGAAGTATAACGCGGCGCCAGCCGGCTTCTCTCCAGATTTAGGGAGCCCGGGGCGGTATACGCCGGCGTACGTGAACTACATCCTTCTGTCCAAGAGGCAACATTTCTCAGGACTGTCTAATCATTAGGGTGGGGAATTAGCCACCCTTGGCCATGAAAACGTGAAGGAAAATTTGGATGGTGGAAACCTTTGACAGGATGGCTTTTGTGACCACTTTTAATTTATTTATTCTTGGAAGAGGGGGCTGCTGGAAGGAGTGGGGAAGCATTCCATTTACCAGATCGTCAAGAGTCTTGTAAGGTTAGGAAGTTAAACCTGAAAGGCCTCTGAATGGGAAGCCCTAAATCTCGAAGTTTAGGGATTCATAGATAGAAGGGGCGTTTTTTGGACTCAAAGAATTACAAATTGAAGTCCAGTCTACCTGTAATTTTCTTTCTTTCCTTTCTCTCCCTTTCTCTCTTTCTCTTATTCCTCCCTCCCTCTTTCTCAATCTCTCTCTTTCAGTCCTCTTTCTCACTTTCAATCTGTTTCTTTCACTCAATCGCTTTCTCCCAATTTCTCTCATTTTTCTCACTTTCAAAGTCTGTCTTTCTCCCAATCTCTCTCACATATTGGGATCCCTGTGACTCTTTTTAACACCTGAATTTCCATGATCATAACCCATCTTCCAGTTGAGTCGAGATAGGAATAAGCCTCTTTAATCCCAGTGGATACGAGGGCAGATTCACAGTTTGTAATCTGGTCTAATTAGGATCGTTAAGCATAAGGGGGCCTACACTGAAGCTTTCGGGGAAGCTAATGAAAGTTATAGATACCACAAGTTAATTATTATTTTTCCCCCCATTCGCCCTTCTTCATTTCTGGCTTTGGGGATGGGATGGGGGCAGATTTTGCAGCTTCCACAGAAAAGCTCCTAAGTGGCAATAAAGCAGTTTTCCTTTCACAGCTAAATTCATCACTGCAACTCATGGGAGCACAATGGCATCGATAGTGACTCCATGTTTGATGAAACAGCTAGAACAGATTACAGCTACTCTGCTGTTATTTTAAATCTCACGCTGTTTTAATGATGGCTGGTTTCTGAGTTTCCAACATTTAAGGATGAGCCTGCCCAAATAATGCTTATATTCCACTGCAGGCCTTTTTTTAAAAAAAAAAATAGCCCAGTTCCATACTGCAAAGGTCTATTCTTGTGCAATTGGAGATAACCTCTATAGCAGAAAATGGGAGAAATGGTTAAATCATAGGACTTGGATGGGAAGTTATTTATGGCACACTAACTTGAAGTAATCACAGCATCAGGAACTGCATGGTGGTTTCCTTACCCATGTGTAGCCCACATTTTATATACTACCTGTTTGATGTTTTTGGTACTAAAACTTCAGAACTACACTCAAAGACTCTTCCAGTTTTATTAGTGCCTTTTGTAACTTTTACGTTTGGTATTCCTGTCTTGCTTTTCAATGGGTAACGTTCCCTTATGTATTGAACACATTTTAACTTTCCACTTTTTGCAGTTTTTTATAGTTTGATTCCAAGAAGTACTGTAACCATCTATTTATTTTATATATGTAATATAAGTGTCCTATACATAAAACAAAAATTAAAACAAAGTGATTTAAGAATCATTTGGAATAGAAACCAGCTTTAGCAGCAGCTCCCTCTGGGTCACCCAACTTTTGCTATCGATATCAATCATTCTCCAGAATGTAGTATAAAACCTCTCCAGGTTTGTACTGAATGACATATCAAAGGCCAACGTGTATTAGAGGGAAAAAGAGGAATGCGCCAGAGTGCTGTAGTGCGATGTTGAGATTAAAAAAAGGCAAGTTTCTAAAAATCCCTTTAGTGTAGCATGGTTTCTGAAATTTGGCCTTTGTGCTTAAAAAGTGTCCTACGCGCATTACACCTGGTCTACATAAATGGTACAAAGCCAGATAGGGCTATTGTAGACAGCTACAGGTTTTGTGTAAAGCTTACTCCACAGTATAAAAGGAAAGCATTCCTGCTTAGCCACCGCAAATTAAAACAGGCAACTGACCAATTTCCTTTGCTTTTGTTTATACTTTTGTACTCAAAAGATGTTTACGGGAGCACAAAATGTTCAGTTGATACTTTTTTTGTTGAGATGTCTGAAGAAAGGTCAAAGAATTGCTCTTGAAAATATTGTCTAAAACGTGTATTATTTTTTTTTGTCAATGTGTTAATGTGAATTTTAAACGAGCTTATTAAATTTGTTTATTTAAAAACATCTTCTCTCCATTGATCAGTGGTTGTTGGTAGAAGGGACTAGCTCCATACTCTGAAGACAGCTGTCCAGGCCATAGGAAGCATGTTAATAATCCCGTTCTACTCAGCTGCGGATCTTAGATGCTGAAAAGGATCAGGCAATTTAAAAAAAAATAACTCCTTTGAAGTACAGCCTTTAAAATGTCTGAAGTGTTTAAGATGAGAAACACTACGGATGACAACTTACATGTTCCAAGCCTTTTAAGAATCTGACCCAATGCAGCAGCAGCAGCTAAAATTAACGTTTCATAATGCCTGTTATTTTCAATTCCACCTTCCCACCAACAAAATAAAAATCGGATGTCGCACTGCGTAAGTAGCAAAGACCCAGACAAATGTCACACTTCTATTTTTTGCCTTATGTGAACCTTGGTATTCAGAATTGAAACCTTCGCTTAAAAAACTAGGGACCTATTAAATTTTGAAGCAGTCTTGAGTGGAAATCATTTTTTTTTAATTTTCACAGATAAAGACAAATAGAAATAACTTACATTTTCCACACTGACACAGATCCACCGGTGTCTTCTCTGAGCACAGAATAACCCCAACCTCCTGTCATTCCAGTTCTGCAACCCCACAAGCATTCACAAGAAGCCCTTGAATCTGTCTAGAAGTGGCAGATTACTGGCTGAGGGTTCAGCTTCCCACTCCCCAATAAAAATTATATTTTGCGGTATAAGAAGTACAGAAGTGTCCTGGGCCCATCGGAGCCTGGTTTAGAAGAGGAGTTGGGAACTGGAACCGTCCGACAGGGATGGACCGGCCACCTTGGAGAGGCTGGAGGGCGATGCTGTTCCGGGTCCCTCAGACATGGGGAGGGAGGTCGACCGGACGGAGAGCTGCCTGCCTTCCCAGACACGGAGGATCAGCTGTTGGCCAGCAGTGGTGCTAACAGTCAGGTCCCCTCTGGTGAGGAACAGCTGCCTCCTCCACTGATCCAAGGGCCTTGGAGAGTGTAGGCAAGCTCAGAGAAGGGCTGCGAGGCTACTCGGGAGGAGGCCACCCCCACCGCTCCTCACAAAGGACATCTGGAGGGGAGTAACTTAAGGAGAAGCCATTGGGGAGTTAGTCCCTGCCAGGAACCGTGGTTTGCTTTGGCTTGCTTGCGCTCCCCTGGCCTCTTGCTGGTTTGCCTTGCCTCGCTTGGAAGATTTGCTCTTCACCTTTTGGTCTTCGGCCTTCTCTTGTGGATGGTTTCTCGCCTTGGGACCTTCTCTTTGTGCCTGGACACTCTGCCTTGTGGACTGGACTTGGAACCCTGGGCCTTGCCCTGTGAGGGTACTCCCACTCTGGGCTTTTTTTTTGTGCTACAGGGAGACTGAGGGTGGGGTGGGGATGGATCCTTACCGGTCATTGGCCGGACCATTTGTTGAGAGAAATAAAGGGACTCTCCACCTGGGCCAAGACACAGAAGGATAAAACAGAATAGCTTATCCTTCCAATTGGATGGTGGCTTTAGGGGAATCAATGGTAACCCGTGACAATTATTAACGGCCAAGAAAGGCTCCTGTTTAGGGTTGGTTGGTTGGTTTATTTTTAGGAAACAGACACTTGTAGCAAAACGTCTTCCAATAAAAGACCAAGGAACTAGACAGGGCTTGGAAGAGAGGAGAGCGCAGACAATTCTATGCTTTTATTCCAGCGCTGCTTTGGAGGGCAACTCTAACTACAGATGCTGCCTCCCGATTTTTTTAATCATAAAAGTGTATTTTCCGAGCCCGTGTGCAAATCGGAGCGCTGCTTTCAAGACTTCGTCTCCCTCATCTTCGGAATTACCGGATCTGGTGGCTTCTGGCTTTACCCTGATTTCAGTACTCAACATGTAATCGCTGGACTTCGGAGCACTTCTGACCACCCCCCAAAATATGAAAGGGAGAAAAAAAATAAATCCTTGGATAGCCTTTGGTCAGAGGCCACCAGCACTGTGGTTTTGTAGCTGCGAAGGAGGCGAGTCCTCTCCAATTCTCTCCAACGGTCAGTATTGCACGCCACGAGCTACTAGTGCAAAATCTTAGCGTGTAATTAAACAGTCTGAGACTGACAAAAGTCCAGCTGAGGGAGCCTGTAGCTTTTGAGGGAAAGGGTTGGCCTCATCTGAAAGGAGCTTTGTCTTCTTGGTTGGGAGATCCTCCCTGTTTACAACGAGCTTGAAAGGACAGACGGACGAGAAAGAGGCGTCAGTTGGTCAACTCTGTATCCCACACAACAATAAGGTTCCAATATTACAGGTAGTCCTCGGCTTACGGCCACAATTGAGCCCAACCTTTCTGTCACTAAGTTTTGCCCTGTTTTACGACCTTCCTTGCAGCGAAGGGACTCACTGCAGTGGATAAGTTAGTAAAACCCCCACTGTGAAGCGAATCCAGCTTCCCTGTTGACTTTGCTCGAGAGAAGGTTGTAAAAGAGGACACGTCACCTCAGGACACACCAATGGTCGTAAGTGTGAACCAGTTGCCAAGTGTCTGAATTTGGATCACGTGATCATGGGGATGTTGCAAAGGTCCCGTGAAGAACGGCCGTAAGCCCTATTTTTCAGCACCGTTGTAACATTGAATGGTCGCTAAATGAACGGCTGTAAGTCAAGGACCCCCCCCCCCCCCTGTAATAGTGGTCCCAATATTACTGCATGGGTTCAGGGCTGATGGGGAAACTCCAAAGGAGGCTTACTCAGTTGCGGGTGATCTTCTCTGGCGGCATAAACCCCGTGTCACCCAGCAGGCGGAGGGCCACCCGACCGTTGGGACGGATCACCAGGTGAGTGATGCTCCCGTTGTTGAGGGATATCCGTAGCCAGCCTTCCGGAGGAAATTGCAATGCTCTTCAAACAGAGGTTTAGAAGAAGAAGAGAAAAAAAAAGGGGGGGGGGAGAAACGGTTATTGAGTTATTTATAAAAAGAAGAAAAGGCGGGATAAAAATAAATAAAAATCAGGATGCACCTTAAAGGAGGCGAGTTTGTGAGTTCAACTGTTGTCAAAAGCGAACTGGCCTCCCGAGACTAGCATTTTTCAGGAATTCATTATACTGGGATTAAATAAGAGCCGTATGGAGAATCATAATTAACTCAGCAAAAGCTTTTTTTTTTTATCCTCCCCAGGAGAGCTGAAAGAATCTTTAAAAGAGGGAATGGTTGTTTCAGCAAGATTATAAATATTTCTACAGCCATTGCCCACTTTATCTTTCTCCTCTTTGAGATAACTGTTTCTGGAACCAGCCTCCAACTCAAAACAACCTTGGCAAATACTAGAGCAATCTTAAGTGTAATCTTAAGTAATTAAAAACACCCCGGCTCAAAGTCTAACAATGTGGTCCATAATCTGCACAGTTAGATAGAAACATGGGTTCAAGCACAGATCCATTCTCCTTGAAACTGGTACAGCTTTAAATTTAATGTGCCACCAGGACAATTCCTGAAAATATAGTACATAAAAAGCTTCCAGCATGTTTGAAATAACCTTTGATAGTGGAGCAAGTGATTCCAATCCATCTATTCATCTCTTTGGTTCCTTCACTTGCAGCCCTTCATGTAAGAAACTACAACTCCCATTAGCCACTCCCCCGGCTGTTGACTGAAGCACCAGAACTATCAGCAAGGCTGCTTACTGGGGGGGGAATGTGGAGGCAAAGCGAAGTGTGGAAATTTACTTGCTGTTTAATCCAGAAGGGCTCCAAAGCCAGGAATTAAAACATTCTCTTCGTTTCTTCCGTCCGGTTTTTAAATACTACATTTGTTTAAACGATTCCTTTAAATCCCGCTACTTAAGAGCGAAAAACCAAAGCTCTGAGATAATCCTGCAGACAACTGTTCCAATTACTGGGCCTTCCTAAAATTCCCAACCGTGTGCTAAAAGCATCCGATCTCTATGTCTAATCCAAGGCACAACGTGCTAAACCCCACTTAAGAACCACAAGGCTTTCAGAGCAGTGTTGCCCCAACAAACCCCTCCCTGTTACCTGCAGACAATATAGCGAATAACGTTCGCGTGACAAACAAAGATTTCGTAGCTGTCCGTTTCCTGCGTGATATCGGCTCGGTGAATGTAGTTTCGGAAGGCGGCCTCAATGCGAGCGCCATCTTCGTAGTACTGCTAAAAGCAAAAGTTTGGTGATAGGGGACAGATAATTAAAAGCTGCACAGATTCCCCCCCCCCCTTTTGCTAATCAAAACCAGTGATCGGCTCCCCAACAGATTAAAATCTAGAGGGCCTTGATATTTAATATTATTTAGATTGCTGGAATCTGCAAGAATTAAGGGAACAGGCTGCCTAAGTTCTTGAAATCCAGTTTAAGGTGCTGAGCCTTCCTTTTTATTTAAATCGTGCTTTGGCTGTCCCAGAACCATTTCACTTCTATTTCAATATTCTGTAAGAGGCTAAGCTCCTACATTTGCCAAATTACAGAAGAATAGATGAACTGAAAAACAACACACTAGAACAATTCTGGATTTCTAAGTAACAATCAATGAACTTTTTTTTGGTGGTTAATGCATTATTCTTTTAATCAATATATGCCCATTTTAACAAGAAACACCGGTTTTGATTTAGCGTTGTCAACAAGTTACTGTTCATTTATTGTCCCTAAAAGAACAATGAATGGTAAACTTGGCCAATCACAACCTGCTTATCAGTGTGCAAAACTCACGAGATGACACACGCACGTGGAAAGAGAAGCCAGCCTTAAAAGAAACCCTGAAGTTATACCCACAAAAGCTAAATCCTGGAATAGATATTACCACAGCTTCAGGCTTCCAGTGAGAACTGGGAGGATTTGGTTCAATGGGAGCTCCTTCGCGCAGGAGATCCGTGCTCAGCTTGGTCACCCCTGAGGAAGACAGAAAAGAAGGATGTGGGCTACCCTTGTGGCCTGATTTGCATACAAGCCAACGTACACAAGAGGATTTACAGGCCTTTTGGTCCTAGTGTCTTTCCATAGACACACACACGCAATTCTGTAACAGACTTAGGAGACAGATTTCCTAGAGATGTTTGCCGCCATTGCTCTGACACAAGTCTTACAAGTGAAAGAGGGCCATCACTAACCATGGATAGATATTCTGCAAATCTGTGCCAGCTCACCAACTTCCTAAAATGATCTGTCTTGCTTTAATAGCCTTCAAGGAAAAACTATTATCACTTATGATGGATTCCAATCAATCAATTTTTACTATAGTCACAGACCAGCACGCACCCCAAAATTAATTCATCTTGTCACAGATCCTAAAAACTGTTCCACAGCCTGTTTTCCTCCTGTATTTTCAATGTAAAATCTTAATAGTGAGATTTTATGAAATAGTGGTTTCAACCCTCCTAGATGCTTTCTTGGTGTAAGTTGTTGATTCTTTTAAAATGGTTTGCAGTGTTTCTAGCACTCTTCAATGAAATGGACGTATCAACCTCCTCCACTTATATTTTAATATTTTGATCCTTCTCCTGTTTGTCACTTCTAGGCATCTCTGGTTGGTACTATATTTTCCTTTCAACCCAATTTTATCTTCTGATAATCAGTCACAGCTTCTTTGCAAATACTCCAGAACAAGCAAAACCAAGACAACATTTCAAATTTCCAAGTAAATGTTGTGGTCGCTTTGACACAATATTATCTCTCCGCTCTCAAATCAGCAATTAAATCAACACCAATCTTAAATGTCCTTTGGACTAATGCTTCTTGTTTGCCTGCCTTCAAAAAGGCATCATGTGGTTCAAATCATTTTGTATGATGATCAGGGAATTGGCTTACACCGCTGCTGACTTGGGACTGCAGGGGTAAACTAGTTAAGATTAGAAGTAGGAACAAGAATAGATGTGACTCAGGCATTAACTTAAAGAATGCTATCTTTCTCTGACATGCACAAAGAATCTGTATCGCAACTGGAAAAAAAGAGACAAAGGTCAGAGTTTAATCTGACACAATGCATTCCAAAAGCTTGATGAAAGCTTAACAAACATAAAAGAATGAATGTTGCAATTATTTTAAAGATACTTTCCTAACTGCAGCCACATCTGGTGAAAAATAAGTTTGCAACAGTTATGGAGAAGTCCCAGAGGTCCAACTCCCAGAAGGTAACATGGAAAACAGGTCATGGAGAGGATGTGTCGCATCCCAGACAATCCTGCAGATTCTGCTCAAGCATCGCTTGTTCCATGTCCTGGATAGAAGGGAGGGAACTGCCAAGAACCTTTTCTGCTGTCCTCACCACTCTGTACCGCCTTCCTGCCTGAGGCAGTAATGCTTCCAAACCAGGCTGTAATGCAACAGGGCAGGATGCTCTCTACAGAAAGTGGTAAGGACGGGAAAGGAAGATGTGCTTTTCTCGTGTGACACAGAAAATGCAGGCGCTGCTGTGCCCACTTCTCCAGTGTCTCCCTGTTGAGCAACCAAGCCAGCCTACTCGTTAGCTGCACACCCAGAAACATGATGCCACTAACCACCTCCACAGGTGTGTCATTAATACATAGAGGTGTGCGGGGCTGTGCCTGCCTTTTCTGAAATCGACGACAAGCTCTTTAGTTTTCCCTACATTTAAAAATGAGGCTGGGTTTTTTTGTTACACCGGTTACACAAAAAGATGAGATGTTCCAGTGACTAGTATGCAGCAAGATCCCTAACCTGGATCTACATTGCCTTCTCTCAACTGCTGTTGATCTTGCTAGCGTTGAACTAAATCTCTGAGCATCTGCAAAATCTCTTGGATCGCTTTAGGGCTACAGACTTCGAATCCAACCCTCCAGATATAACGGCTCAGAGTATAAGCAAATCAGACAGCTGGTCCTGCCGGCAAGTAGTAAAACTACATAAATGTTGCTTAGCCCAAACTGGGTTCCAAAAAGACACTCACCAGGAAGATGTTTGCTAATAATGTTGGTTGTTTCCGTCGCTCTGGCCATAGAAGAATAGACAATTTTATCAAATTTCAGCCCCAGACTTGCAAGTCTCATCCCGGTCAGCTCAGCTTGCTCGCGACCTAAAAAGTACATTTGTGGATAAATTCCTAAAAGGCACAGAGGGTTTTTTTGTTTTTTTCTTCTCCTTTCGGCACAGTATTTTAAAATCAGTACTTGCTGCTTTTTTTCAGCTTTCCTGTTTGCATTCTTCATATAAAGGATTATTTTGCATTGCATGCAGAAGTCGGCAAGCAATGGAAGCAGAACATTTTTTTGAATAAGGAGTGTATTTAGGCCTCCTTGGCTTGAAAACAGATAGCAGAATGGGCTAAGTATGCTCAAAGCAAGCAGGAGTCATTTGACTGAATGGCCACTAAGCAAATCAGTCCAAAGAAAAACCTACATTTAGGAAAGAACAGAAGGCTAAATTATACACCAAACAAGCAGCTTCCTCCGGCCTAAATTGCATCCCGAAGTTGCTTTTTAAAGTCCAGTTGCCTCTTGAAAAGGCACCTTTGGGACAACCGTGACTTGGAAAGTGCACCTCTGCCCATTATCCCATCATACCTACCCAGCTTCGTTAAGATTCTGTCCTTGTCCTGTTGCCCTTCCAGATTGTACTGAGAATGGCGTATGAGGAATATATGCCTGGTAGCTTTTGTTTTATAGCGGGCTAAGCGAGACGACGCCTCCAGTTCACCGGTCTCTTCGTTTTTCTTCTTCTTCAAGTTCATGAGAGCCAGGGGTTCCCTCCTGAAAAGCAGGAACCCGAAGTTTATATTCTTGCATTAAACACAGCGGACATGCTCCTGGGCTGCACCTTTGTTTGAGAAAGTCGGCCTTAGCCATTCAAATTGCATAGATATCTCCTTTGTGCCATTTACTATCTCGAAAAGGCAGAAGAGCAATGGGCAACTAGAACCTACAGACAGTCCTCGAATTACAACAGTTTGTCTAGGGGCCTTTCAAAGTTAACAATGGCACTGAAAAAAGTGACTCATGACAGTTTTTCACACTAATGACTGTTGCAACGTTCCCAATGGTCATGCGATCAAAATTTGGGTGCTTTGGTAACTGGTTCATACTTACGACAGTTGCCGTGTGCCGGGGTCATGTGATTCCCCCTTTTGCGACCTTCCAACAAGTAAAGTCAACAGGGAAGCCAGATTCACTTAACCGGGTTACTAACTTAACTGAAGTGATTCACTTAACAACTGTGGCAGGAAAGGCCGTAAAATGGGGCAGAACTCACTTAACAAATATCTTACTTTAACAGCAGAAATTTGGGGCTCTATTATGGTCGTAAGTCAAGGACTACCTGTAGTTACATTTCACATCTTGTATCACTGATCTGAAGTGTGTGCATCAAACACTACCAGATATATATATAAAGGCAGAAGGCAGTTCCTGCCACATGAGCAGCCAGATTGCAATTCCAGCAATTTGACTCATTTCCCATCGCTGGATTATTTTTGTTCATTTAAGAGCAGACCCAGTTTTGGCATTTTATTCCTGCTTCTACCCTTCATAATTTATTAAGTACAGTAGAGAAATAAAGGCGAGTCAGAACAAAGCCTTGAGAGCTGCCAAAACAAAATGCAGTCAGAAAATGAAAGATAGCTCATCCGTTTGATGTGACGGATGTTTGTGGTGTTAATACACTTTCAAGTAAGCAGATACTGTGTTTCGCTTTCACAACAGCGGCCACTGTGTTGAAAAAATAATACACATCTCAATGTAAATGCTAAAAATGGAATCCATGGCAAGGTAAATTTACAGGGGCTAGTTATTAATATCAATTCGCTATATGCCTTACTTTCTGATTTTGCAGAAACAATATTTTTTTCTTGAAATCTGTATCAATTCCTAGTTTTAAAGAGAAATTTGAACTAGTTTTTTTCAAAAAAACTTGTGTAAATAAAAATACAAATATAAAAAAAAATACCACCTATTTAAAGGGAACCCCACTGAATTAAGTCAGGCCCAATGCATAGAGGCTCTGGTCATATTAACTATTGTTAATCCCAGTAGCATAGGATACACAGTCATACCAACTAACTATTCAGAAAAGCAGCTAGGGACACGAACAACATACAAGCAACATCATCCTTAAAAGAACTACTTGCCCATAGCTAAACAAAATTGCCAGATATCTTTAAAAAGTTCTACAAATGTGACCACATGAGAAACCACAAATGAGGGCTCACAGGTTCAAAATAAGACATTCTGCATGTCACAACAAGCCAACCCTTGGCTTGGATTCAAGAAATGATTTATTCAAGACATTTCTCTCTTTCCTAAAGCACAACCACTCCTGGACATAAGCAATTAGAAAGCATGCACCGGTTAGTTCAATTCTTCCCAAAAGATGCTGATTTTAGAGTTTGTTGTTATATGTATGAACCCCGTGTAACCAAGCTGCAAACCTAGACTGGAATCCAGTGTCTCCACATAAGCCGATTAAGGGCTTTTTGCTTACCCATACCTACACTGAGACCAGCAGTTCCAACCCATTATGAAATTAAATGTTAGGAAGGCTTTCGTTCAGATTTAGTGTTAATCTCGAAGGGATCAGGCAGAAATTAAGGCTTAATTCTCTTTTCTAAGTGAATTAGTAACTGCAGCATTCTGAAAAGCATAGGTATTATTTCATATATAGCAGAGAAACAGAAGGCCTTAGGCAATTACTTTGATATCTGAAATTCCCAATAATTGTGAAGTGGCTCTGTGTATGCACAGATTAGCAGAGTTGGAAGGGACCTTAGAGGTCTTCCAGTCCAACCCCCTGCTCAAGCAGGAGACCCCGTGTGTGTGTGTGTGTGTGTGTGTGTGTGTGTGTGTAAATATAACATGAACTGCCATAGATTATTATAAATTTAAAGGTTCTCCTGAATGGGTAAGGCTTAAGGCAATTATTCAAAATGTGTTCAGCAGAAATGACACCCAATGCTTAGAGGTTGGTAACATTTATTTATTTTTAAAAGAATGGTATGATTGCTGGATCCTAAACCACCCTATAATTTAAGAGTATGGTTCCAGTTCCTATGATATTAGTAGAACGCAAGCCAACTGGCTGTGCTCTGCAAAAATGATAATGATGTCAACAAATCAGGGACGAAGTGACATCTACTAAAGTTCATTCACACTGTTTATCTTCAGCAACTCATGCCGTGGTCATTCTTAAGGCAAACAGCAGGATGTGGCAAGAGAAACCTTAATTACTAACATTTTTGAATGTATATTCAGCCAGAAGGAAACAAGGACCCTTATACACAGCCTTCTGTGTATCCAGTGATCCAAGTGATCCAAGACGGTCACTTACACAGGACTAGCATCCAGAACATCAGTTTTGAGAAAGTATTTCTAATCGGTCAGGAACCTTGCACAAGTAGAGGTTTTGGAGAGAGAAGGGGAGGGTTTTCTTTTAAATAATTCAAGCATTCACAGTAGATACAGATTAACAGAGTTGGAAGGGACCTTGGAGGTCATTTAGTCCAGGGGTCGCCAACCTTTTGGACCTCAGGGACCACCAAACTCATAATTTTAAATCCCGCGGACCAGAGACCCTGGGAAAATCCCCAAAAAGGTCTGCAGGAAAATTCCCCACCCCGTTTTCCTACTGATCGATCGTTCTTTATTTGGGATCGCAGGATACCGTCTCCAGCTCCGTTCTCGGGGGGGGGGGGAGAGGAGGAGGAGGAGGAGAGAGACTTCTGGCTTCATGTAAGGAAAGTAGCAGGAGCAGCAGAAATCTTTCTTTCTGTCCCCCAAACTCCACCAGAAATGAGTCTTGGTGAGACTTATTGCACCGGCACAGCTTCTTGGAGCAGGAGGCCTTGCAGGATCCCAAAGGCTCATTTCTGGCGGAGTTTGGGGGAGAGAAAGAAAGACTTTTGCTGCTTTCCTTGCATGCAGCCAAAAGCAGAAGAAGAAAGAAGCGGAAAGAAGCAAACCGGTGGACAGGACAGGCGCATGGGGCGTGTGAGGCAAGTACCCCCCCTCTGCCCTTTCCCTCTCCCCTCACTACCTCATATTGTTCGCAATGCAAGTGACACAATCCTTGTGTTCCTGTAGGCAGTATAGGTGGTGCAGCCTTGTGTTCCTCTGCAGCCTGGATTAATTGCTTTGGGGGGGGGGACATTTCTCTGCGGACCCCCCAAAATTTTCTCGCGGACCACCAGTGGTCCCCGGCCCACTAGTTGGCGACCACTGATCTAGTCCAACACCCCCCCGCCCCGCCCAAGTGGGAGACCCTAGCATATACCATTCCAGACATGGGGGACACTCCGGCCATTGGGGGGAGGGGAGGAGTTCAGGCATTTGGGGCTATAGAAGTGGAGGGGAGGGCTCTGGGAATGAGGGGGAGGGGGAATTAGACCGTGGGGTGGGCTCAGAGCATAGGGGGCTCTGGGAGTAAGGGGGGTCCTCTGGGCATTGGGGGGGATTAGACTGTGGGGGGAGCTCTGACCGTGGGTGGAGGGCGCCTCCAGGCATGGGAGGGGTCTATATAACGGGGGGGGTGTCTGTGTGGGAGGGAGGGAGGGGGGGA